GAAGGTCTGGTGGCTTGCACTTGCGATGGCGAGTCTGAATGTCTTGCTATCATTCAACGCCTTTTTTCCAACGTTGAGTGCAACATTGGGCTACAGTTCGACTGTGTCACTGTTGCTTTGCTCCCCACCTTGGCTGTTTGCAACACGTGTAGCATTTTTGACGTCAAGGTAGGCTATCTTCTGCTCCCTGTCTGAATCCCACTGACATCATGTGAAGACATTCTGATGCAACAGGCGAACGTTTTGGCCACATTGTGGTACCTTTACTCGTCGGGATCGCGGGGTTTATGATGGCCATGGCGACTATGAATACCGCAGTTAGATACCTCTCATTGTAATGTTTTCTTTCTTATTCCGTTCATCGACCGACTGAAACTGTTTGGCAGATTCCTGATGGCTCAGTCTTACACGGCGTTTGTCGTGTACTGGGCATGGGCTAGCAACTCTATTCCCCATCCGACATCAAAGCGGGCCGTAGCGCTTGCATTCATCAACGCATTCTCATCGTTAGGAAATATCATTGGTTCGTGAGTATTCAAATTCCGGGTCTTGTTACTGTTCAAAATATCTCATGCGCACTTCGGATAAATCAGCTACGTCTGGCCAAAGTCATGGGGTCCTTCGTATTGGAACTCATATGCTATTTGTATAGGATGCGGTGCGCTTTGCATCATAATGTCGTGGATATTCAGGCAACACTTGATGCGGTTGAATCAGGAGATCGAAGCAAAGAAGACAGAAGGAGGGTTGTCGAAGAATTTCACATATCTGCTGTGATTAATGTTATCGTGAGTAGGTTAATATCCAATGCCTTTAACTGCACACCACATCGTAGTAGTCCACTTTCTTTTGTGTGTAGAAGTCGTCGTCGTTTAATCTTCGATTGTTGTATCAATACTTGCCATGTTTCTTTCCTGATGGAGGTTGAAAGTACAGTACTTGCGCGTACGGAGACAGGTTGGCTCTGCGAAAAGTCACGTGATCTCTATCGTCCCGGAGAAATATCGGAATGCCCCATCCCGTAAACCAGTGTGATATATTCAGGATTACTGTAAGATACAGGTGACCTCGATTGCCCCCATGACTTAGGATTTGTAGTTGCTCTGTCATAGAGAATTAATCCCTGCGTTACTACCACCTTAACTATGAGCACCATTAGATCTTTGACGCAAGATTGGTCTTTCACCCAAGTAGGCGGCGGACATGGCACGAAGAACGGCGAATGGTTGGCGGTATCGCAGTTCCCAACCACCGTACACGTCGAGCTTTTGAAGGCAGAGCGTATCCCAGATCCAGTGTGTCCGATTATGGCAAACATCACATCGACTAACTCGACTCATCATGATTCCGCAGTTTCTAGGTCTCAATGAATGGGAGGTTCAATGTGCGCCTGGTCTTCATTGTGTTTCAGGTGCTCACTGATGTTTATAAACGATAGGGGTAGGAGAGTCCGACTGGGCTTTCAAGAATACCTTTGAAGTTTCTGCGAAAGAACTTGCGGCCGTCAACGTTGACCTTGTTTTCGACGGTCTTGATACGTTTGCAAGTGTGGAATTTGTACGTTACATAAATTTTGTCACCCCACATGAAGGCAATCCGCGTGCTAACATGATACTTTGACATAGAATGGTCATAAAATCTTGGAGTCAGCACGTTTTGATCTGTCTCTGTCTCGTCCTCTGACATTTATTGCTACTCAGCACGAAAAATCAGTTTATCGCATACAGAGCACCTGTTAAACAATACTTGAAAGTGGGTGCCAATGAACTCGTTATAAGCTTCTCGAGTGCGTTCCTGAAGGTAAGCTAATTCAATATTTTAAACACTTACCTCTGAACATCAGCTTTCCAGGGGAGGGAACTGGAGCAAGCCCACGGGAAGTTGCATCTTTGGAACGGCGATTCCAGTCGTTTGCATGTGCGCAAGGCACAATACAAGTAAGCATTGCTGTCGATCTTAATGGAAAGGTTGTCGACGTGCACCAAAGTTATGGTTGGGACTGGGGGCCGGTCTTGATGACCATTGGCCCTTGGAAGCCTGTGACCCTTCACACATACAACGTCTACCTCATGGATGTTGACATCAGAAGTGATGTGTCGGAGGCTCTGGAGGTAGGGGTCACTGTTGACTTGACGCTGTCTGAGAAGATTTCCGGTGGGTTGGCATCTGTGGTGCTGAAAAGTGCACAGAATTCTGTGATCCTCTCGGAGAGCAATATAAAAGTTGGTTCTGGGAGTGCTCGCGCTGAGTTCCGCTTCTCGCCTGGAGTGCTCGAATTGTGGTATCCAATTGGATTTGGAAAGCAACCTCTGTATACAGTCGAGGTGACTATCTCTGACTGGGTGAGAGTGATCCTTCCCTATATAGTACATCATATGGTCTAACACATAGTTCCAGGAAGGAAACACTCTGGACACGAAAACTCAGAGAGTATCGTTCCGTCGTGTTCGAGTTGTCCAGGAGCCTCTTGTTGATCAGGAAGGCCTCACTTTTTTGTTCGAAGTCAACAACATCAGGATTTTTTGTGGTGGTAAACAATGCCTTTTTCTTGAGAGAATGCAAAGTGAATCCATATCCATAGGCTCTAACTGGATTCCTGCTGACTCTTTCCTCACTACGTTAGTATGACGCTACCTTTATCAAAGCATTTTTTGACTAAATTTACTACAGCCTTACTCCGGCAAGGTACCGTGCATGGCTTCGACTTCTCGTGGATGGTAATCAGAATATGATTCGTGTCTGGGGAGGGGGCATATATGAACACGATGTTTTCTACGATATTTGCGATGGTGAGCACCACCATCTTAGCCCTTGCGCACTTGGCTCACAACCTTCCTTCCATTAGAACTTGGAAGTAAGGCTTTGTTCAACTCGGTAGTCCGTTTTTCATATCCTATTGCAGTTCTTGTCTGGCAGGACTTTATGTTTGGCTGCGGTCAAGTGAGTTGCTGTTGTTGTTCTGTTAGCTGAGGCTCAAAGGTATTCTAGTACCCGGCATATGATTCTTTCCTGAAACTCGTCGAACTTGAGGCGGAACAAAACGTCAAGCGATTGAGACACCATCCATCTATCGTTATCTTTGGTAAGTAGAAGCTTTTGTGAAGTGTTTCTCCCTCTAACTTTTTTCACAGCCGGAAACAACGAGGATTACCAGCTTGCAGAGTCAATAAATATCGTGGATTACTCTGATGAAACTTCGGACTTCCGAAAGACCAAGTTCCCCGCTCGGCACATATATGAGCGGACACTGCCATCCATCGTCCAAAAATTCTGCAATATTCACTACCACCGCAGTTCTCCTTATAGCGCCCCGGGTACAGTGACCACAGATAAAACACTCGGGGACCTTCACCAGTGTAGGTAAACAAGTTCAGTGATATATGTTGTTATTGCAACGAGTCTTCAGGGAATGTGTGGCATGGGTCTCAAGAACCGTGGCACAATTGGGATTTACTCGCTGGTCGCTTCGTATCTGAATTCGGAATGTAAGCAGTTCTGGCCCTGCTGGTACCCACGATTCCTCATGCTTCGCCAGGGAGGGATACCCAAACATTCGCACAGTTGATTATTGGCTTGCTGGTGACAAGTCAGAACGATATCCTCAATCTCGGTAAGCGAATTGTACTCCACCGTACATCATGCTGAAAGTCCCCTCAGCGTCAACAACAACCATAACAAGGCCGATGGCTTCGAACGCCGGTTGGAGGTAGGATAACATTTATTATGACATTCAGAGCCACACTACCTTCTTTCTAGCTTTACCTCGTGGAAAACTTCAAGCATGCCTTCGACATGGACAGGTTAGTAGCCGTCACCACGGGGTTAGTATGATTTAATTGACTCTTGTTTAGTTATGTGTATTACACACAAATCATGCAAGCTGAGACGCTTGCATCTGCTTACCGTCTCTGGCGGAGAAACTGGCGTGGAAAGGGTCGGGAGCACACCGCTGGTGCTCTCGTGTGGCAGGTGAGTTATCGGACAAACGTCGGGTTCTCAAGTTAACAGCAACCAGATTAATGACTGCTGGCCGACCACGTCATGGGCAATTGTCGATTACTTCATGCGTCCCAAACCAGCGTATTTCGCTATTTCACGCGAACTGCGTCAGTACACGATCGGGATGACGCGTAAGGAACAGAAGACATTTGCGAATGATTTATCAGCTGCCCAGTTCACAATTACAACAGTTCTTGAGGTCTGGGGTACGAACGGCGCTCTATCAGAGAAGAAGGCCAAGCTCGAAGTCACTTGCTTCGACCTTTACTCCTCCTGGACGACGCAGTTCTCTAAAGATATCGTGCTCGCTCCCAATTCTAGCACTGAGTTATACTCGGGCGACCTTCCTGGTCAACCAGTGCGCACAAAGCAGAACGAAGTTCCACGTGCGATCATTGTCTCAGCACGTCTCCTCGACGCATCTGGAACTGTCCTCGGCAGGCATTCCAATTGGTGAGTCTCAGCCACATGAGGTTTTCTGGGTCTGTGTTTCCTGACACTCTGTTATAGGCCAGAACCTTTCAAATTCATCAAATTTCCAGCCATCGAAGATCTGGGGTTTTCTGTCAAAACCAGCAGCGACGGCGAATCCGTCGAACTCTCTACTCAAAAACCTATAAAAGGAATTATTCTAGATACTGAAGGCGAGGACGTGGAGTGGAGCGACCAGGCCATCGATCTGGTTCCAGGAGATCCCCAGATTGTGAAGGCCGTTGGGTTGAAGGGTAGAGAAGCGAAGGCCCGCTTCCTTGGCGATGGCACGGCGTAGATGATAAGGCCACTTGTATTCATATCAATATACACTTACGTATAACAAGATGAGAATTAACATACCGAATATAGGAGCAGAGCGTCTCACGGAATGGACACATTGTGGAGATACGAATATGAATTATGAACCACCAGGGAAGACACTATTAGTACTGTCGAAAACCAGGCAGAAAGACCCCAGGAAACCATTATTTTACACATTGTACAAGTCGCAACGGGACATGACCAATGTAGCGGATTATATAGAAACAGTCTAACCCGAAGGAGAAATCGGATAAGATGAAGAACTCCTAGGGAACGGAAGGAAATACTTGTGCAAGGAAAAAATGAGTGGCTCAGGGTATGAAGGGAGACTGGGTAACCGGAGAGCATGACAGCAAGGTGACCAGGGACGGCCGAGTCGCGTCTATCACATAATAAGACACCTGCTTGCTTCTGGCTGATCCGTTTTGCTAGACGGTGATCGTTTCTCAATCTCCGCAAGACATAGTTCGAAGACTTTGCCTGTGATAAGGCTGCGTAAATAAGCCAACTATTGAGAAGCGCGATAATTCCTTACCGACGTTGACATTATTCTTCGCGCTCGTCTCGACCCAAGCAGCATTGTTGAGTTTTGCAAGCTCTTCCCCTTCATTTGGAGGCACCTGTCTACTATTGGGACTGTGAGGCACGAAAATAGAGCATTGACAAAAAAAAACACAAGTGTGGGACGGCCGAGTACAAAGAAGGATGAAGACCTACCTCGACTGTAAATCAGTTTTAGCGCCAACGATCACGCATGGGATGTCGTTTTTGCCACAAAAATCGACGATTTTGTCGTATACGATTTTGATCATATCGAAAGATCGTCTTGAGGTGACTGAGTACACGAGGACGTAGCCATGAATACCAATTGCATGTTTAGAATTGAGAATCGAGTATTCGTCCTGTCAATGTAAATTAATCTTGATGCGCAGTCCCATCATGAGAACACACACCTGGCCAGCGGTGTCGATGATGTCACAGTCATATTCTATGCCTCTATAAGCTACACCTTTCGAAAAGGTGCTTTCGATGGTTGGATAGTATGCATCAACAAAATGGTTCTCGATGAACTGTATGACAAGAGAAGATTTGCCTGTTGGGTGAGTAGCGGGTGAGTATGATGACGTCGAGAATAAAGATGAACATACCAACTGAACGGGAACCTAGAACTGCGATTTTTCTCTTCCTCAAAGTGTTGGCAGCCATATTAACAAGATAGTGTATATGAAATAAACGAGAGAAGTGGAAGAGAGAGACGAAGAAGGGGGAGCACGATGGAGAGACCAAAAAATGTAAACAGTTGTGGCAATTGTGGAACTGTGACCCCCCAAGTTTAGCCGAAGTTGTTTCTCCGTCACAGGACTTCGTCAGCAAGCGTCGGTGGACGTTTGGTTGTTACAAGTAAGTTTCGGAAACTCAAGTGGGTGAATGTAGGTGTGGGCTAGGTCTATATAAATACGAATGGGAAATGGATTCTCCAAGGCAGGAAAAGGCAGGAACTCCTTGTACTAGTACCATATCGTATAACGGGGTCTTACTCATTCCAGCGCAGAAACGTTATGTACGGACCGTAACTTTATTCGGATTGTAATACTACATTTTTCAGGAACACGGTACACGTCGAAGGTCTCGCACTCTACTGAACTCGCTTCTTGACCGTCGGGCTAGCGTCACTGCTCTCACCGAAGGTCCCACATGGCTATCTCCTGGGTCTTGTGATCCGCTGGAACGGCCCGAATCTCTCGGCAACTGCATCATAACAAATGAGTAATTTATCTCCACAGCCTCCGCAGTGTAACCAGTACGTGCACGCCAGCAGTTTTTTTTTCACCAGAGTATGAACTGCCGCTCAAGGCAGATATCTTTTACCTAGGGTCGCAGGAGAGATGCGCCGTCAAAACGTGCGATTGATTGTTTGATGGCCGTTGGGCGCGAAGATAACAGACATATTGATGACGCATGCCGTAACGCAGAAGTGTACTCATGGGCCCTGCATATTACGTTGCTGTACAACGAAATGTTGTAGCATTATCCATTTCAGAGGGAAATAAGAATGCTGGAGAAGGCAGAATACCAAGCTTTTGGCCAAGCATAGGTGATGATGGATGTACTATGTGAAGCCCCTCGGGAGGGGAAGCATGTGCGCGCATCGGCAACCCAAACAACAGACGTAAGAGACCTTGGGAAATTTTCGATTCAGTGGCGCAGACAGGGAGACAAGCACTAAATTGAGCTAGCCACGAGTGTAAGGTTCGACAAGGACAAATGATCCATACTCACCACGGTACGAGAGGAGAGCTTTCCTCTCTTGCTTGAAGATACATCACATAGAAACGGTATCCATGAGAGGTTCGAGGAGGCCACGAATAAGATATGTGACACGCAATATGGCACGTGGGAGGACGCGACAAGTTCTCCACACGAGTTCTACGACTTCCTACCTAGACGAAGAATAGCCATTTGGGCTTGAGCGCTCCTAGAAGCCTGTGCACAATATACGTAGTTGAAATGGCCGTGGAAAGCAACGCCACACCTGCACTATGGCCAGTGAAGCCAGATGACTATGATCACTTGGTTGAATTTAGGAAGTTTTGGCCCTACGCAATCACGAACACTTGGCGGTACATCATGTGGCTAACTCGGCATCACTAGTACCGGTACAGCCGGCGAGATTGACTTCAAGTCCCGGAGTCCGAGGATTGATCACTACCAAATAGCACGTGATTGTAAGTCACGTGCAGTCACGCGTCCCAGTTGATTTTCGAACGCGACCAAGTGGCTACAGGGATTCGACTCAGACTTCAACTATCTGACACTTGTCTTTCACAAGTTCTTTCTGAAACCAATCATCAAAATGTCTGCCACATCTACGCCTACAGACTCTCCGGCCTCTGCTCCCATTCAGCCAATGCACAATCCCTCGCAAGCCGCCCACATCGTCGTCCCACAAGCACCTCTTGGGCATGTCGCAAACGGTGCCAATAACGCTATACCTGGAATGGGCATGAAAGCACTCTTGGCCAAAAAGCTGGCGAAGACCAAGTGCGTTCACGAACACGTAGATCAGTGGCAGATGTAAACCTTATTCACGCGTTCTTTCCAGCAATCCCAAGTTTGTCTCGCCGACAGACAACCTGATGACACCCGTCACACAGAAGCTTAATGCTGCGAAGCAGAAACACTTCACTAAGTACGTATTGCCTATCCCCGTGGACCTTTGTACTCCGTCCTGACGCAATCTGTGATGCAGGGGCACGAAACCCATGGGTCCTCTCTTCCCACCTAAAGAGTCACATATATCAGAGCAAGAAGATCACGGTCAAAGCGACACAGAACCTACAAAAGACACATCTTCAGAAGTACCGATGGAAGACGAGAATCCCTTTTAAGACAGAACGCAGTTGGCCCACTCGGGCATCTCCATCGTATCCTCACGTCGTTTGTTGTATTACGCTCTTGTTTGTGTCGCTAAATCTTGCTTGCCTGTGTAGAGTCTAGTGGTGTTGTAGGAGGTTGTAAGATGTTCCCACGCTTTGCTGTAGTGTTACGCGTCGCGGCTAGTATGTATGCCTTATTATACGGATACATTGATTGCATTCGTTTCCCATCTCCCTTCTAGTTGTGAACCAGATCATCATGGAGCATCCTCAGTCTTCTATGGATATCACGGTTGCGGATTTGCGTGCAATGCTTGAAGGCAGATCTCACCTTCCCTCTCGCAAACGGATACAAGAACTCATTACAAGTCTCCCTAAGATATCAGAAACCGAGCTTAAAGACCTGGGACATTCTGGCGAGTTCGTTCATGCGTCTGACATCGTTCTCAAACTAGACGGGTATTAACAGAGTCTGTTTGCCCCATATGCTTTAATACGTTCTTGGCCGTCCTGGCTGAAGAGGAAATGGCGCTCGTAATGGACTCCCCTGCGCACCCGGTAGAGGAGCTGGGAGTGACCAGGCTCCACGAAACATGCGGGCATATATTCTGTCGAAGAGAGTTGAGTGGACATTCTCCATTCGAATGACGTTACTGACAAGCGAGATTAGTATCACGAAATGGATACAAGACGGTGTGAGTTAAAAGCTTGTATTACATGACATGCTTCCATTTACGCCACCTCCTAGCGCGAGTCTTGCCCCACTTGTCGCAGAGCTTTTTTCGCGAACACGGCTAATAGTGACCAGCGTGAGACGGATCAGTCTTCTCTGCTAGAAGATTTTACCGAGAGCTCAATGGTTGCCAGAGGGTCTGACGGCGCAGGCTTACTGCCCATTCTGGGCGTACCCTCGATGGCGATAGGTAGACATCTATTTGCCCAACAACGGGAAAGCCGAAACGAATTTTCTGGGATGTACTCGTAGCTTTATATTACATACATCTCCTGCTCAAATTAAGACTAAGCCCGCCCTTCATTATTGAATATTGAATAACCATCCATCTACTACTCTTTTGACAGACAGGCTAATTTAATAAAAACGAGTGAGGCATCAGCCCGAGTAGTGTAAGATGATACTCATGAAGTTCAGATTGTCCAGCTGCATAATACGGAAAGGGATACGAAAGGAGAGTAGATAGCTGTTTTCATCAAGTCCATGCACAAACTAAATTCTGTTTACCCAACACGAAAAAGAGAGAACCTGATACACAGTTCAATTCCTCCTGCAGCATCTGAAAAGATTGCGTTTGAACCAGTAGAGCAAGCACTGAAACAATGCGTGAGTAACTGTGCGACAAAAATACAGCTAGAATAACTCACCCCAGTAAACCGCACAGCAGCAAGAACAAATGTGGAGTACAGGATGACAGCAAAATAAGTGTTTTGCTTTGTCTGAAGCTCCGCCGCGTCCTGTACTGCATCTTGAGCAGTCGCGAGACCGTTGATGTTCTCAATGGCAACCGCCAGTCCAGCGTTCGTGAGCATCCAGAAGGCAACAAGACGCGTACGGAACGTCTTGTTTTGATCATCCATCGTCGGCTTCTCAACGGCTTCCTTGACATCGATCTTGGTCACTGCGCGAGTAACGGTCTCTTTGAATGCAGCATCCACATCTTCTTGGATGCGTTGCGTATCCTCGACAACAGGAGCGTCCGCGTCTTTGGTCTTAGACGACGAGACTGACGGTAGAGCTTCTGCCTTGTCACTGCCCTTTGTACCCCAGGAGACCTGAAACCATTGTTGTCAATCAAAGCCGGGTTCTGAAAAATAAAGCGTGACGCACATCGTGCAAGTTACAGAATGCATAAACGTTAAGTACATTCGTGAAACTTGGAGCCAAGCATAGGTATTGGAAGAAACTGGAGAAGATGTGCCAAGGATCCCGCTGAAACACGGGATCAGACAGTGTCATTTCGAACAGATACAACTCACATAGAGTAACGATGCAACGAGGTAGATGCCTATCTCGTGAATGAGCTAAGGAATCACTACAAAGCATGAGGCACAACATACCGAAAGTGGAGACCATCGCGACAATCAAAGGACCAACAGGGGGCGTGAAGAAGGTAAGAATGACTTCAGCCACCGTCTTGTTCTTCAGTTGGCTGGGAATGGTCTACCAGAAAAGTGCATCGTCAGGATACTCTACGCAAGCACCCGAGAACAGTGAAACTCACAGTGAATGCCTTGCCGGTTAGCCAGAATGAACACACGAGAAGGTAAACAGCCAAGAAGGCGTAGACCCTGCACACAAGTCAGCTTGAATAGAATAAAGACTCTGACTTGAAACAAACCATAGTGTGATTGCATATGCCGTCCGTTCACCCTTTGGTCTGTTACCAAGAGCTAGCACAAACTGCAGCGCGAGGAAGGCAAGGTAAATCCATTTGAAACACAAGTTTACCCAGTGTGTCTGCGAGCCCAAGCTTAGTGTCAATCTTTCAAGAGCAACGATTGTGTACACACGACGTCTGCAGTGCCGAAAATAATGATGCCTTGCGAGGGAAGCAAGTCAATGATGATACTAAACGTTAACCAAATGTTCGCCAACGCAAACCACGAAAACACCAATGAGAAGATGTTGTACTGTCACCTCAGTGAGTCACATAATACAAACCAGAAATGACAAGACGTACAAAAGCTTGAACGTGGAAGAAGAACATGCGAATGATACCATGACCAGAGCGGTATAGTTGGAAGAAATTGACCAGAGCGTACTAGCAAAAGATAATCAGACAAATTTGTATTCAACATCGTAGTCGATACTCACAACTGAAGCGGCGAATGAACCATTCAACCATCGACGACGTTGGCCAATCAACTCGACGGCAGATTCTGGCACATCTGTCTCGGCTTTTGAAGGTTAACATACGTCAACGTCCACCTATCACCAGCCTTGGCAACGAGCTCGAAACACAAGATACGATCCTCAGCCAAAAACATATTCTTTGTAAAGATGTTCATGCCGTAGATACCCTTGGGACCAAGACGATCAGCCAACGAATGGTCACCGTGGAAATATTGCTCTAGTGGCCGACCCAAGATCGCACGGAAACGGTACGCAGAGAAAGCACCAGGAAGCACTGATACATAGCCGAAACTACTTTCAAGTGGCTTGTCTGTCATGCAATAAGATAACGGTATGCAAGATCTGGACCCATGACATACCAAGAATGTTGGACATTTTGTACTCGAAGTTTTGGGCAGCGACCAGAGGATTGAGGAGCTTCTGCCACCCTCAATCATGGCGTGAATTTCACCACAACACCCACCAAGATGGGCGTCGTTGTAGAATGCTTCCCAAAGATAATAGATGGATTTGTGTCCAGGTTTGGTACCAGCGTCGATGAGCACGCAAACTTGAGGCTAAAAAAGTTCCAATTAAACGAACGTGTGCTTGCAATTCGCCTCACCTCCAAAATTTTACCGATGGCATTGAACAACCACCGATGTGAATTGATCTTCTTCTGATTCTTAGCTTTGAGGACGAAAATGATCTGTACGGGTACTAAATTGTTGGGATCATTCTCATGAGGAAGCACAAGCTGGGGCTTGGCATCAACCGACAACTGAGTGGTATACTGGAGGCAAGATATAAGCGATATAGCTAATGTCAATTGAATGACTTGTGCAAACCTCAAATATATGTGCAACAGTGTCTTTACCGTCGACTTGTTTCTTCATGATACCATCTTGGTAGACACCGACGGTGGCCAGGATATCCAACACGCTCTTGTCCATGGGCTCGAGTCCATCGACAATAAGGGCAACTGTGATTCTTTGCCAACCAGGCATGCCTTCTTCAGCCGCTCGCCGCCAGTACTTCGACTGTTTTGTCTTGCAAATGTCGCGAATGTTCACCATGACACCATGGAGTGTTCTCGCATACAATGTTTTGTCTTCGTTATAGGATGTAACAGCGATGAGAAGGTCGGTTTGCCGACCATAGATCTTGGTTCTCAAAGACCAGCCATTGGCCTCTGAGAAATCGTCAGGGTCACACGTTGCTGCGCTGTACCGCATGTGGCTAAGAGACATCCGCGTGAGTTCGATTCAGTTTCATATTGACTTGCAAAGTGACTTACGAGAATTCAGTGGTATTCGTGGCGGCATATTTCGCCTCAATAGCACTATGCACTGGCGTTGGAACCGGGTATTCCGCAATGAAGTTACCCTTTGTGAGCTTGACTTTGCGGGTCACACCACGTTTAATGGTCTGACGGCGCCTCCAAGCAGTAGTCTACACCATTTGTCGAGGATGACGTAGTAGACAAAGGGCGCGCATAAGGGTCCCCATAGGCTGAAGGGTCGACTGGTCTATGTAGATAAAGTAATTTGTGAGTAAAATTTTAATGATTCATGAAGAAAAGAAGTTCAAAGAAGCGCCGAAATAATCGAGATATTAATTCAACTTACCCTGGTGGATAAAAGCCGCCAGGATTATAGCTATCGCCTCCCGTGAGCGGAAGCTTTTCAGCATAGTCTTCGTCTACATAATTGGCGCCAAACTCGCGGGGTAACGTCGTGGTACTCTCGAAGGGCGAGCCAGACGCGCTATCATAAACACGAGGCGCAGGCTCCTGGAAGTGGGTCTGGCGTGGTCGATCTGCAAATGGGTCGGCAGATAATTGTTCATTACGGGGCCTCGGGGACGTCATACTGTATCACACCAGGTGAAGTTCGCTGTCAACAAGAGCTAGAGTATCCCTTGGACGATGCCCAGATAATTGAAGGGGCAGAATGGAGAGAGACAAGGGTTGTGAACGAACACAAGGCAGCAACGGTTTTGTACAGGTCAAAAAGGGAAATGCAGGCGATGATATACACAGCTTCTTTGGACCCCAAACACCCCTTCCAACTTGATCTCCGTCAGCCTCAGGCACTCCAGTACTTCAACTCCACAATGCCTACACCCACCTATCGACCATAATAAATACCGCTAGCTATAAGAGCTTAGAGTCAGATAATTCCAAACACTTGTGCCAAAATTTATTGGTGTATTTTTATACTTGATGGTGGTTGCTGAGAGCTGAGCATCAGCGAGGTGTCCAGGGTCCTTCCCACACACGCGGGCGCAGGCCTAGCGCTCGGCGGGCATAGCTCAGCTGCTGAGCATGTCCATAGGGTCGATCAATCTCGCCACTCTACAGCCAGGACCCCTAATCCCAGTTTTTATGCTATCCACCTGCAGAAAATTTGGCCGATACCTTTGAATATTTATCCACTTCGTGAAAACTTTCAGGGTTGCAACACTACAGCTGATGCCCGGTCACTGATGCAACAGCTGCGCATTCAAAAATGTTGTCACACCCGTGACAATAATAGCCGTTCAATTCACAAAGTCCCGTACTGGACCCGAACCAACAGCCATGGTACAAGCATAGCAGTGAACCGCCTGGGTGCGATACACCCTTGAGAGAAAAATATATGGGACTTCTCTGTATCCTATCAGGAAACCGACGAGTCCTTTAGGGTGCGTTACGTTGGCTGCAGGGCCTTGACGTCGTGATATATGACTTTATATTGCTTTTGGCGACGAGCCATGCTCTATCGTCAACCCCCGTGACAGGGGTCCGGCTCATCGGAGAATTATCAAACCCGTGTGAATCTCTGAAGTTGTAACTTTCAAGTACCTCTCCGGCAGTCCATACTTCGATCATCCCCCTAGCCGTTCGGAAGCTTGGTCACAGTCTGCAGTGCTACAGCCGCACCTAACCCATCTATTAATTCCAATCTTGATGTCTTTTACCCGCTGAAATTACCAGGACACGTGGTTCGAGGACATGATTAACCACCAGCTGAAGACCTGGGTTAACTTTAGCATGCTAGAAGTTTGAAACATCGTACGCAAAGTACTTACCTCAGCTTTTCATCGTGAACTTGGGCTCAAAATGCACGAGATCTACGAAAGAGTACACGCGGAGTTCCAAGATGTAACTACAGACAATACCACCAGGGAAACCGATCCCTACTGGCTCTCGCAACCACGGAGGCAGGATTAAACCCACTAAAGCTGTGCCTCTCCCACCTAAACTAGATCATGCAATTCGTTCCGTAAAGTGAGTATGTCCTTTGCATCTTAACGAAAAGTTGAACAAGAACACAGATACTTGAAGAAGACAGTCCTGGAGGAAATGGCAGCGGCACGGGAAATCGAGGAGGTACACATAAAACGAGGACAACTTCATGAAGACGGCACTCGCGATCTATCTATCGTGTCTATAAGGCATATAGCAAGATAGAAATTACGAGTGACTCAAACGTGTCAATGTCCAATGTCTGGCACTGGAGGTTGACACCGGACTACGGGACCAATATATATAACTACCCCAAACCTCCAACATAAAAAATCCTTTGGAAACCGGGAGAGTAAGAAGCTAGAAGGAGGGCTCGCGGGAGCGTAGATTCTGTGATTCTACAACAGACCAAAAAATTACGAAAAGCCGATGGAGAAGACTGAAAAGTTGGATGTGCCCGAAGAGGATAGAAACTGACAATGATGTAGTTTTACAACAGACCAAGAATTGTGAAGAGGCAATAGAGGTAACTGGAAAGCTGGACGCGCCGGAGGGGACCAACACTGATAATGATATAGCGGAAAGAAGTCAAGGCTCCCGAGTTTTCTGCATTCGGCCTCTAGCAGCAATTTTTACCCAGCACGAACCACTTTGAACCTCATCGTGCGTCGTGTCTAATTGCCGATGCAAACCGAACTGACGTGTGCGCCATAGTCCAGGCCTGTCATACGCCTGAGCGTCGCAAGGCTCCACATGGCCTTGGGTCCCTTGACCCATCGTGCATGTAGGGTTTCAGCAGCCTATCACGGGGAAGATCTGATCGCATAGTTCTCACTTCCGCCCACACATACCAAAATCGCCGTGGCAAATATTAATTCCCTTGTATTTCAAACATCTGTTTTCATTGCACGTCTGTACATTACTTAGTCCCTGATCCGTACACAGCTAGACAGCGTTCTTCAAAGGCTTGCACCATTAGCATAGACACATTTCCAAAAAACTTGGCAGAGAGAGCAGAGTGCAGCGGATTTTCAAATGCGAAAGCGATATCCAGTGTGACAAGAGTGGGTCCGGCGTCAGGAGAATGGCTATCCACGGGTACGGAGTTCCTGGCATCACCATGGAGCAGTAGACCACTTGAAAGGTGAGGGGATGTTGATGAAGCTGGTTGGAAGCGCCACGTTGTTTGGAGGGTCTTGAAGAGAGGGGTTGAACTCGATGCTTCGGCCTATAATTTCAAGAAATGGTGACTGTGCACTCCACCAGAATGACGAGATAAACTGACCTGGACGGATTCATAAGGCCGACACGTCACCCTGCTAATATAACTCTCCTGAAATGCCAAGAAACCGACCATTAACTCCGCGTCCATCGTGACCACACCATCCTGGCCCACACGTCGTTCCAAGATTCTTGAGCCAGTGCAATATGGCACAAAATTGGAATATGAGCCAACATCTGCTACTAAGTTGTACAGATCCATGCGTCCGTAACTTGGGGCACCAATCAGTTCCAATGAATGTGGATATGATCGTCGGGTATAACACACGGAAAAATCTTGCGTTCATGGTAAGTCTGTGTTGCTGGCTGTTCATCAGGGTCAGGTGATGTCGATGAGGGCGAGAAAGGCGAGAAGTTCGGGAGGGTGAAGAAGCCTCTCTGATGAGAGGCCCTGCGAGCAGTAACGCATAAACATTGCTGTCGCAAGAGTCGCAGCATCAAAGTTGTTTGTTATTATGTAAGTGAAGAAGTTCAGTACTCAGTTAGTGGCGTAGTCAGCCATTCATCGTTCAATGATCGGTGCGCGTCAACGATGATCGATGATCCCCAGTGACTTGCCATTGGAGAATTGACAAAAAAGCGGTCGGTACATGTAGATATAGATCGAAAAACGTAAGAAAAAAAGGCACTTTTCAAGACAAAGAAACATAGAGGTCGAGAAGAATTTTTGGTGTTCGATAGGTCTTCGTTCGGTTTAGCTGAATATATGTGCTCAGAAATCACTCCATCTGGCCCAGAAAACGGTATCGATACAGACCCATAGTATCGAATGAGTCACTGATGGGTATCGCTGTGAATTGTTGATATCATGATGAGGATATAGTAGGCCATCCGAGGGTCCTCGTCCTGCCTGCCGTACCATCTCTCGCATCTTCCTCCCGTTTCCACCCCTAGGACTGCGCCGGGGTCCCGCTCTTAGTCGTTAACGTCGGTGCCATCGCCGGCTTGCACCATCGAAGAAGAACCCAGCTAAAAGACCCTAGTAAGTAGCACCCATAGAACGAGTATAATCATACTCACCTGCGCCGCGGCCTTTTTCCTATATTCCTAGTGTACTGTTTTAGTCATGTCTCTTCAGAGTGAACGCAAAGTGCTGGTCATCTTGATGCTAGCTGACATGTTGTTCCAATAGAGGGTAAATCCACTTGTTGGCATGATATCGGGAGTGATAGGTAGACCACCAGGCAAGAGATTGGTCGGTGCTAACCGCGGACGATCGCACGACGAGAACTTGAAAGGTAACAACCGGATATTACAAATAGGTTGCTCCTTCATTCGAGAAGGTTAGAGCAATCTTCATAGCAAGAACAAGGACTATACCTGTTGCGAAAGCATGACTTCACGCGCGTATTGAAAAGTAGATAGAAGTGAGTTCCTCCATCACAAAGTTTCGGGCATCTTGGTCTACATGTTTGGGATACCATCGACTTCACCAAGATCAACGGTTCGAAACTCTGAATCGCTACGAAGGTATCCGAGAAGGCGAAATGGTGAGGTTGTGATGCAGCAAATTGGTGCCAGAGTAAGAGCAAGAGAGGGCCGGAGAGATTAGGCGAGAGAAGCGACGATACATGTGCATGATCGGGAAAAGAGACAGACGGTCTTGAGGTGATATTTATCAGTCTGTGAAGTCTTGTTTTCGATCACAGAGGAATGATGATTGTATCGAGCCGGGGTTGCGGCGCATGGTAGGCTGACAAAAAGATGTGCGTGGTTCAGCGCTAGCAGTGTACTGACTCCATGCGCGGGGTACAGCGCATGCATACATATAAAGTTTGTGTTGCAAACTATGCGATCGGAGTACGTCGTGCATTTTTTGAACTTTGCGAAGTTCTTCGTATTGTGCATGAAACCCAATTTGTACTCAGACGTCTATTGCTACCTATCTATTTTATTGACGATTTTCACTAGGATCGATGATCGATGTAAACAGCCTCTCTGAGATGGAAGTCTGGTGCCGTAACATTGGGTGCCACACCTGCCTCATGATGGTTTCTCAGATCTTCCGAGCAACTAACGAGCACTTGGGCAGCGGGTACACCAGTCATGCGGCACAAGGATGGTGGTGATCGAGAATGGGAGCGGGATGCCCCAGATGAACCGTTACCCTTCGGAGCACCACGGGTCGATGTATCAGAATAGAAAAAAGGTGCAAAAGGAATGGTATAGGCCAACGCCAAATCCCGAAAGGTAATTGCTGATCACCTGTGAATCACAACGAGTTGCCATACGTTGAGTTCGTTGTAATACAAAAATGATGCACGCGTGTTCTTCACAACACTGCCTTCGGAGTATGACATGCCGTACCGAGCGAGCTGCTCCCACAGATCCTCGGGCTGCGCGTAAGTGAACGAGAATTCAAAGTTCAGATCAGCCAGGTCAAACCCCGGGATATTGGTAACCCCGTATTCCTGTGCAACAGCGATCAGAACGTGGATCAGTGCTTCTGAACTGATAACAGAGCGTCACACTTCCATTGTCTAGAAAGGTTCAACTGATTATCTTTAGAGTTAGATAGAGGTAACATCTGACAAGCGGGATCGTCAACAGGATAGATTATGCATACCTTGCTCCCTAGTCAACGTCGGGGTCCGAGTCGGTCGGTGCTGCGAAACTGACAACTGGTAGCCGTCGCATTGGAAAGAAACTAGCTATTCAAGAACTTTGGCGCTGATCTTAACTTGTGCTCATGCAGATCAAGAAGTCATATCCTGAAGATTGCGGAGATCAAAAAATGTCAAGATAAGTTAACTGCAAAATAAACATCGCATACATATACGGAAGAGGGAGTAGACGATCTCTTAATACCTTCAAGAATTGCACAACGAGACAATTCATGTCGCAAACAACTCGGCATTCTCTGGGCAGTCTCTTGCGATCTTCAGGGGAACATATCAAGTACTGAAAAAAGCAAGAAAAGAGACAGATAAGACGTACATGCCCCTCTTGTGAGCACTTGTAACAAGTCTTGCTTTTAGTCATCCCAGATGTTCCATCGGCCAAAGTCGAGCCCGGAGCAGCGAGACAGTCCCTAAGCATTGTTAGTGTCGATTCGCGATAAATGTGAGACTCTTCACCTCGCCATATGATTGGGTCCTCCACATCGGTAGCATTTCACCGGAGGGAGTGTAGATGTGTTCAGAGCACGTCCCGGGGGAGGTGCACGAGAAGCGAACCCGACTCCGGTCCCGGCCCCTGACACTCCAGTAGCTCCACTCGTACAAACGCGAGCAATGTGTCCAAACCGACCGCAGTTCTGATATGTGGTAGGTTCAACAGGGCGTCAGGCAACAGACAAGCTGTAAACGTACGTAGCACTTTTGATTACCGCTTTGAACTCTGAGATTGGGACATTCTGCTTGAATATGACCAACACCACCACAGGAGTAACACTGCTTTGCAGCGACAGTGCGAGGCGACGGACAAGCTGAGGACTCATGACCAGGTTGACGACAATTGTAACAGAGGCGCTGCTCAGAAGAGCAATTTTCAGCAATGTGACCTACTGGAATAACATTAGATTGTACGAAAGATGAACGATGACGCAGGAAGAACTTGCAGTTTCCACACTTGAAACATCCCTTCCTGGAAAACTGATACGCCATATCTACAGTCTCAGATCCTTCTGAACAGAATCGTAGAATAAGATTAGATTATTGAAGAGAGCAAATGTATTCGCACCTCAACACTTCCCTCTTCCAGCGAACCACTAGACTTCTCTTCCCACCTTACTTTGACGAGGACGAAGGTGACGATGAGGAACTGGTTCAATAGCGTTAGACGTCAATTTCGTAACTTAAATTTACAACCTGCCCTGAAGCAGTTAGTAACCCCATTGGACCCTGTGGCGCAACCTAACCTCGAATACATACTTAATCCGCTAAATTTCAGGCTCTTCGAGGCCCTGTAATTGCGAATGGCTTCTCTCGTCTCCGAGTCACCTGCTTCCTAATGGGCCATCATCAGATGGCGACACGTTCAGTACGGCACGATCGCCTCTTAAAATGAACCGTTGAGGTTGATTGTCCCGTTCTTGTCAGTAGGTCAAACTGATTGGATCGATCCGGGGTGCTCATCCTTGCGGGACAGTACCCCAAATCAACCAGAATTCTGGCCATTTATTGAGTAAACTCCCAAATATGCGATCTGGCCTATCTTGGCGGGCACACATGTTTTGAAACATTCACGCCCATCTTATCGATAGCAACAAATGCCTCCCTCATGTCGTTGCCCTGTCTCTCGAGATCTAGGGTTACATGTGCAACCGGCTCTTATAAAAGCATGGGTGCGCAAAGCTGTTTTCTCCTTAGGACCCACAGTTCTCACCTGACGGATAATCAACATTAAGGTCGGTAATGCCCGTACACTCTGCGATCTTATCATATTGACAACTCCACCTTGTCCTATATGTAGTCCTGACCTTCCAGCGGGTAGCCGACCTTCGCGCGCTCGCGCATCGCGCTTCTTGTATGGGCGCTGAGGGATATCCGTTCAGGTAGACTTTCGCTTAGCTTAACGGTGTTTTGTGTTTCTAGACTAACAATCCGCGCAGAATCTTTCTTCTTTTCTGACACCCCTCCCCGCCCCCACAAGAAACGGCGTATCGAGCGACCTAAGCACGGTTCAGCGTATGGGAGGGGGATCGATGATGACGTTCCCAGGTTTCATGCCGCAATCCCGTTTTCATACACCAGAAATGCCAAGTCTATGCCTTATGCCTTATGCCTATGCCTTGATTCATACGGACATTCACATAATTAGCTGCCTACATTTTACAGTCGGGTTGACCACGTTCAACTTTACACACGCACTGGGCCACTGGTACAAAGCCTACGTATCTTGTGTTTTGGTACCTTTGACGTAAATTTGTAAAAGCACACGTGAACGTGGGACTGAGCACGCTTAAAGACGCTCAAGTTGCGCAACTGCACTTGCCAAGCTGACATATAAGAAACGTACGTTGTGTAGCAGGTCACTGGTAATTTGTCTGCAGCGGTCGCTGGCCTCGCTGCGACCCTCGATCAACTGTTTTCCTTAGGCTGTCCTATCGGTCTACTAATAGCTAGGGGACACTACTGAACTGTGGCCACTGCCGCGGACACACAGGAGGGCCCACCGCTGCAGTTGACTGCCAGCCGATATGTTCTGACCTGTCCCCACTGTCCATAGATGAACCACAGGCGCAAATCTTCCTGGTCCATGTTTGCGGCAGTGGCGCCGCGACAAGCGTGTCTGGTCGGCTTTTCGGCGCTGTACACCGTGGCACTATCTGAGAGTTTGAGAGTTATTCCAAACTCCAACCCGTCCTCCCGTGACTGTACCTATTTTTATTTCTTGTCTGGCATCCAGTGGACGAAACGAACAGAACGAAACGAACAGATGAAACCAGGTATAGGTAGCAATATGATTAATACCAGCCTAGGGCATATCCACTGTAAAACTTGCCCGCACTTTATCGAGCCGTACGGTGGATCCAGACATTTATTTGCCAGACATTTCTAATCGGGACTCCGTGACACCGGAAGATATTGTAATAGGCAAGTCGAGGTAAAGTGCCTCATGCACATGTGGGAGTATTGCTTACTACTACCACTACAACTCTCACTTAAGTACTATAGATGGCTATCGTCCCAATGCTAGGCTTATCGCAACCCTGACAGTCAAAGGAGACTCGTCCTCACTTAAGACCACACCAGCCCTGCACTGACTGTCATCCTGCCATCATGAGTGTCGAGAAGCGCACACAGTCTATTGATCTCTCTCACCACCTTTCCGAGTTATCAAAGGCTAGGCTAACCTCTCCATTGAAGGGGCTCATGAAGTACTTCAACCAGCCAGGAATTCTGTCCCTCGCAGGAGGTTTGCACTTCTCGTCTGTTAATTTGAATACATCTAATTTGACTTGGCAGGCCTGCCTAGTCCTGCGTATTTCCCCGTCTCTGACATTTCTGCAAATGTTTTGGTACCAGAATCATTTGCTCTCACTCCGACCGAGTCGTCCACCTCTTTGTCATGGCTATGGAAATTATTTGGTACTAGCCACAATGCAACCAAGGAGAGGACTCAGGCTGTCACCATTCCAAAGTACCCTGCCATCAAAGGGGATATCAGCCTAGCCGACTCTCTTCAATATGGCCCAGCAGTCGCACAGGCGCAGTTACAAGATTTCTTGAAACACTTCATTTCTGAGGTCTATCGTCCAGCTTTTAGGGACTGGACCGTCCTTATCGACACTGGTAATACAGATGGGTGCGTCAATCCAGTTGTTACAATATTTATTACGACAATGGTCATCTAGGTGGTCGAGAGCCGTTATGACGCTATGCAACCCCGGTGAGGGCGTACTTTGTGAAGAGTGGACTTATCCTTCCGCCATGGCATCAATGATCCCTTTCAATATCCTGCCTGTACCTGTGGCCATGGATGGATTAGGCATGAAGAGCGATGACCTCGAGAACTTGCTGTCGCGATGGGATCCAGTTTCACGTCAAATGCCAAGGTAAGGTGCTTTATAAATGCAGAATTCCGCCCGTACCTGATCCTCCCCTAGGCCTCATGTTATGTATATTGTGCCTGTCGGACAGAACCCGAGTGGTTCGGTAAGCATACCTTTGCAGCTCATCCTAGGAATTCATTCTCAAGATCGATGCATGCAGACGATGAGTGTTGCTCGCAAGAAGCAGATTTATGACATCTGTGTCAAATACGGTCAGCATACCTTTAAAGAGAAATCCGCTAGCTAAATGAACCGGGCGATTAGACGTAATAATAGTCGAAGACGATCCATATTACTTTCTTCAATTGGGCATGTACGCATTTAAAGACGACAGGTCCCCTAGTGCGACTCCTTCTGGAAAACCGTCAGCCGACGAATCTAAGCGATATGTCTCCACTCTGACCCCTAGCTTTTTAAAGTACGAGCCCTTCATTTTTTATGTTATTCTGTCTGACAGTTCGGTTTAGTTTTGACTACGAGGGACGCGTGATCCGTCTCGATACCTTCTCAAAGGTAAGGCATGGAATCTATATTTCTACTCCCATCAGGTTGATCGTCCTTTTGGCAGACCATTGCTCCTGGTAGTCGACTGGGATGGTTCACGTGCAATCCTGTCTTTGCAGAAAGGTTAGAGAGACAAGGAGAGACATCAGCTCAGTCCCCATGTGGCTTTGGACAGGTATTTGTGATGGTGTCTCGTCAAGTGATTGTAGTTAACATTGATTTTGCAGGCCGTTATAACGAAGATCTTGACGCATTGGACCTATGATGGTTACATCCGCTGGCTCAGGGGTACGTGACTGCGTCCACCTATTCGAATCACCTGAATGTCACAATTCCCATCAGGTTTGCGAACAGAATATCAGCAACGCCGCGATTTCTTCATTGATTGCCTCGCGGAGGAATTCCATTTGCACGCGGTTCCTGCAGTTGCAGGCGTCTGGGAAGGCTGCATCATGTACCAGGCATCATCCAAAGTCAAGAAGAGCACTGGTATGACCGAGAAATACTCGGCCCAGAATCGTACAATGTTTAGCTTCGTTCCCCCAGTTGCGGGAATGTTCGTATGGGTAGGTTGGCGCTCAACCTGTTTGCTTGCATGTTACGTCCATTCTAAGCTTATATCAGATGCGACTTCATCTCGACCAACATCCCTCATTCGCACCAGGAGATAGAGATACCTTGGAAACAAAGTTATGGACGAAATTAGGAGAGAATGGTGTCTTATTTGGGCCTGGATGGATGTTCGCAGCCAATGCGATGGCCGAAGACCCTGACCACAACGACTCTGGCCATTTCCGCATCAGTTTCAGCAATGTTGAGGTAAGTTTCGAATCTAATGTAACTGGGCACTTTGATAACGACATGGTTCCTGAAGTTCGCCGACCTCAAGAAAGCGGTCACTATCTTTGGACGAGTTATTCGAGAGTTCTTCCAAGAGGATTTGTAGTCGCTGTTTTAGCAGTGGTGAGTTATTTGTCTTACGCGTTCCAGGCTTTATGCACTTTCTGTAAACGTTGCGTGATAAAGTGTGACTATAGACTCAGAGCTGATAGGAAGACTATGTAGACATTCCAGTGGAAAATCATGATAGAGGTGAAGGCATTGTAGGGAGCTATCTACTTCACAATGCCTTCTTGATAGAATTCTTATAAATGTTGCATATATAGAGCATGAAGATGAGTGATTTGTACATGCTAGAACGGGGAATGTCCTGAAAACCTAGACAGTATCACCCATCTGTGCACTGTGTCAAATGTACCAATGCATGAGTACTAGTGTAGTTTACTTTTCAACTCTCTGAACTCATCCGAGTCAGGCATTTGATTTGGCTTACATGACAGTAACCGAACACTCGGAGCTCTTATATGTAGTAATACACGTGCATCATGATAATTCCCAACCAAGACAAGTGATGACTTTCAAGTCCAGCCCCGCACTGAGTGTTATCATCCTGCCATCATGAGCCTGAGTGTCGAGAAGCGCACAGTCTATCGATCTCTCTGACCACCTTTCCGAGGTATCAAAGGCCAGGACAACCTCTGTTGAAGGGGCTCATAACGTACTTCACATAGCCAGGAACTTGAACCGTGTCCCTCGCAGGAGGTTTGCACTTATCGTCTCTTAATTTGAATATATCTAATTTGACTCGACAGGCATGCCTAGTCCAGCGCATTTCCCCATCTCTGACATTTATGCAAATATGGTTTAACATTCATTTGGCAGACCATTGCTCCTGGTAGTCGACTAGGATGGTGCACGTGCAGTCTTTGCAGAGAGGTTAGAGAGACAAGGAGAGACATCAGCTCAGGCCCTGTGCGGCTTTGTATGGTATGCGTGGCGACACTTCGTCCAGTAATTGTATTTGACATTCATTTTACAGGTCGTTATATTGACGCATTGGACCTATGACGGTTGCATCCTCCGGCTCAGAGGTGTGAATAGAATATCAGCAACGTCGCGATTTCTTTATTGATTGCCTCGCGGAGGAGGTCCATTTGCATGCAGTTCCGCAGTTGCAGGCGTCTGGGAAGGCCGTACCGTGTATCAGGCATCATCCAATCTCAAGAAGAGCACCGCCGGTATCGAGAAATACTCAGCCCGGAATCATACTATGTTTAGTTTCATTCCCCCAGGTGCGGGAATGTACTTATGAGTAGGCGGTGCTCAACCCGTTTGCTCTTCCATTCTAAGCTTATATCAGATGAAATTTTATCTCAATCAACTTGATCCCTCATTCGCATCAGGTGATGAAGATACCTTGGACACAAAGTCATGGGTAAAATTACCAGAGAACGGAGTGTTGTTTAGGCCAGGTTGGGTGTTCAATGTTCATGGCCAACGCGATGATCAAAAACTCCCATAGCACTGATTCCGGTCACTTCTGCGTCTGTTTCATCAATATTGATGTACAAGTTTTAATCTCAATGCATCTGAGAGTGACCTGGTTCACCGACCTCAAAAAATCGGTCACTATCTTCGAGTTCGGATGACTCATCCGAGAGTTCTTTCAACACAAGGACTTGTTTTGGATACAGGTCAGCTGCTCGGCGTAAGCAACGACCATCATGTGGACCGAAATGTCACAGTAGACCAAGAGACCCTGACTTGAATGCCACGATCCTTACTCTCTGCAAATGGGAAGTACAGCCATCCGTGATCATGTAATGATGAACCGATCGCTTCCAAAGTCTGCATCACGTTAGTCCGAGAGTAGTCGTCGTCATGAACCATGACTTGTCTGGATATTTCTCTATTTCCATGAATTCCCACCTATTGTTGAACTCAACAAGGGTTGTCTCGATCTGACCGTTCATTGATGACATTTGCATCTCAAAGTTGCTACTCCTCCCTTCAAAATGTTGCACCGATCTGCTGCGGCAGTCTCCGATTTCGCCGCCTATCGTAAGTGACATACAGGATTGAATGAGTCCGCATCGCCGGCGAGTTGCAGTAACGTGAAGCACTGATTCCTTAAACCAGAGTCCTGTAATCACCCAGGCTCTCTATCAAATTCAAGTGCACTACTTTGTTTATTCACTGCACATGCCTCGAAGTCGGGGCGCAGCTGTTGCCACGATGAAAACACCAAATAGCCAGCGGTTCATATGTATCAGACACGAGGCGTCCCTTCTAGACTGGATGATGAACCCTGAACCCACCATTTTCACTGCCACGATCGAGACTTGCCCTATGCCCAGGGTATGATGATGGTGCCGTAATTTTTTTGGGACCTTCACAGGATGCGTCTCATCGGTCCCTTGAGGCTACAGTGAATTCAGAGACTTTTGGGCGCAAACCAGTACCCTCGTTGCCCATAACCCCATAAAAAGGCAGCGGGATGCGCAGCAACGTCTGCTGTCTGTCCCCGTCCTGTTCAATTAATACAGATGCCTGTGAGTGTTTCATTCTGGGGTGCCACAGCAGCATATCTAACCATTCTTCAAGGCACGCATAATATCCAGGGAAGAGTACCTGCTACTCGCCAAGGTCGCAGAGGAGGCGGAGCGTTATGAAGGTTTGTCCGTGCATCATTCCTACATGTTGTTCTCACCCAGCTGTTTTCATAAGACCTCGTAGCGCAGATCAAAGGCTTGACGCAGACGTACGGAGCATTGACCATCGAGGAGAGGAACCTCCTCTCCGTCGCGTACAAAAACATCACAAATTCACTTCGTAGCAGTTGGAGAGTGGTCGATTCCATGGAAAAGCTCGAGTCATCTAGACCCTCTGCACAGTCAAAGCACCAGGTCTCCTTGATCCGTCGCCAGCGTGTTCGCATTGAGAAGGAACTTACAGATGCCTGCAAAGACATCGTAAAATTGCTGAACGATAGTCTTTTGGCCACAGCCAAAGCTGGGGAAGAGACTGTGTTCTATTATAAGCTGTAAGTTCCTTCTCTGATCTATGCTGATGACCATCCGATCGTTGCGTCCAGGAAGGGTGATTACTATCGATACCTCGCCGAATTCGTGCAGCAACAAGAACGCAGTCGGTACTCGGATTTGTCACTTGCTGCATACAAATTCGCGTACAAACATGCACTTGCCATGCTGGAGCCGACACATCCAACAAGATTGGGGTTGGCTCTGAATTTTGCCGTTTACTACCACGACGTGCGGAAGAGTCCAGAGAGAGCATGTCACCTCGGCAAACATGCATTTGACGAAGCGGTCGCATGTCTAGATGATTCGTCATCGATGCAAGTCATGCGTGATTCGATGATGATCCTTCAGCTCCTGAGAGACGATCTTGTAATATGGTCCAGTGAGATGCAAAGAGGTAAAGGCTGTCTCTTGATATAATGTTCTGTCACTGATTTGAAACACATAGATGGCGTTAGCAAGTGACCCTACGCTGTAATTGTTCTTTTCCTTTTCTATAGTGTCTAGTCTAGTCTCCCGTCATGGAACCCTATTTATATCACATCACTTGTCTTGCGATTGAAGGAATGCGTTCCGATATATATCGTACAGTGCATGATGAGGGCTAATCTTGAGCAAATGTTGCAGCCACAAGAAGCGGAAATACTAGCGTCGCGTCAGCGAACACCTGGGGGTCCTCGTGAGATCTTGTTACAAGACAAAACATCAGACGAAGGCACCTTGACAGACTCCGCATCGGCACGGATTTTACCCCAGGAGACCGCCTCATCTGGCCGGGCACCAGAGTCTGAGCCATCAAATTCTTGACCTGTGTTCTATGAGCGAAGTATATCATCAAGTGTGGTCGAGTGCTTGTGTTTGAGTACCAACAATATATACAGAATAATCGGCACCATTTCGCTAGGCGGGTAAGACTTCGATTGATGCTGTGGACGATAAAACTTACTATTAGCATTGCATTGGCGATTTGATGTTTGCAAACTCCTCCACCGAGGATAATCATCCCAGCTTTCTTTGATTTTCTGGAGAGTTCGTTCAATGCCCGGATGTCGCGAACGATATCCAATATAAACCCGGGATTCCGGAAGGAATGAAAATATATCATATCCCCCAGCGAGCCGTCAGTGAGGGCGGGACAGAACACGGGTATATCGTTCTGAATTTAGGCTCAGCTGGTGCGAGTGGAAGGAAATCATGATTGCATTCACTTTATAAGCCCAATAGTAAACAGATTCTTCGTTATTAATTTCCTTTCCCAGTCGTCGAATGAATGAGCTTGGGGACCATACCTCACCGGTTGCCTGCTGTTCAGCCAACATGGTATCCAGGATGGGCAGCAGCCAGTCCTCGAACTTGCAATAATTATCGTTAGGAACGACAAGATTCCCTATCCTATTCATTCCTCGGCTCCGTAGGTCGGCGCCGTCCATATTGAAGTCGGCCAAGTAAGTCTTCCCGAGACATTTGATGAAATCCTCCTCGATCCCACCTGCAGTTGTAACAATCGCAGCAACGTGCTTGTGCTTGACGAGGTACAAAATGACCTCGCGCAAACCCGATGAAATCAGATTGGATGTGTACCCCAGAAAGATGTCACATCGTGTCTGAGCTCTGATCTCTGGAGAAAGGTAATCTTCAGACTCATCAACCGAGATGGGCTGATCAGATAGACGCCATTTCCGCTAAACGGAGTTAAATACTCAGCACATCACGTAGGCTCTGCAAAATAAAAGTACTCACCATTCTGTTAACGATGTCAATTGCCCTTCCGAGACTGCTTGCCTGAAATCCGATACGTTCGTAACTTTTAAGAAGTTCCTGAAGGGACAAATTTTTCTCGAGATCGGGCCCTTGTACAGAAATCGCAGAGTCTGAGATGGGTTCAGAAGGTTGTAGCACTGCTGCAGATGCTTCTGCAGGCACTGCAGTAGACATACTGCACAATTTGGTTGAGGGGACTCCGAGTCAGGGGAGACGAAAAATTGACTTCACGGCAAACCCCGACAATACGTGACAACACTCGAGTCGGCGTTTGGGATTCGGAATCGCTATATTCAGTAACTGCAACCTCTCTGCGAAGCAGTCACTATCCGCGTTGAATATGGTGGACGACACCGTCACTGAATCTGAAGGATCACCAACAAACTCGATGGTCGATGAGGAACTTGTCGGTGTTTGCAAGGAGAAACCCATCGTTGTGGATGCCGACGCTATTCATGAGGTTGAGGATGCACCTCCCTCTGCGGTTACTGCAGCCCTACCTGTAGATGATACAGATGAAGCTAGACCTGCGTCTTCCTCTCCGCTTTTTGAAGTAGCGGAGGAACATGTCGAAACCGCTCCTGACGTGTCTCACGTTTCTCAGCCAGAAGTTCAAAACATAGACACATTCGTGGAAGTTCCTCTCTCTTCGAAACAAGCACCGCCAACACCGCCAGAAAAGAGTCCCCGGTTGCAGCTACACAGAGGCTCCACAGACGTTAATCCCGCGACGCCAAGCAAGCCTGAAAAAGCAAATGGCCACGACGAGCCCCGACCTCAAACGCCATCTAGTGCCTACAGTTCATCATCCTCTGCGTCTCACAAACGTTCCATCACGATCTCCAAGGGTTACACCGTTTCTGTGGTTCTCATTTCTTCTGCCTTAGAGATCATTCTGGCTTCGAAGGAGGCCAAACGATCCACAGCTCTTCGCGAGAGCGCACACAATGCCTTGGAGATGATACGTGTCGGTCAAGGTGGTGATCGTCCACGTGAAATTTTTGAGCCTCTACGGCTGGCATGCGAGACACGCAGTGAGAAGCTCATGATAGCGAGTCTGGACTGTATATCCAAGCTCATCTCTTACTCGTTCTTTGCGGAGCCATCATCCGCGCAGACGCTTCCTTCCCCGCCTCCGTCACCGGCACTGCAAGGAAGACACTCGATAGCTGGTGCTTCCCAGTCTAGCCTTCCACAGCCTTCCCTGGTCGACCTTGTCGTCCATACCGTCACAACATGCCATAATGATACCTCCCCTGAAACGGTCTCTCTTCAGGTTGTCAAAGCGCTTCTCTCCATAGTACTTTCGCCTACTATCTACGTACACCATTCGTCACTATTAAAGGCAGTCCGCACGGTTTATAACGTATTTCTTCTCAGCACGGACCTAGTCAATCAAATGGTCGCTCAAGGAGGACTGACTCAGATGGTGCATCACATATTTGCGCGGTGCAGAAGTCTCGACGGAATAACCCTACGCTCACATGTCTCCTCCGACACGCTGACATTAATTCCGGCATCAGGATCGCCCAGGACTGACATCCAAAATAGTGCAGTGGAGAATTTGACGGCAGAGGCGTCGCCATCGGAATCTGCCGTTGACATGACCTTACATCCTGGCGTCTCTATCCCCCCTTCATCTGTTCATGATCCTGACGTTGCGCAAGAAACAATCAGTCACGCGCTGTAAGCTTATGTTCCGTAACACTCATTGATAATTATTCAAACATGTCTTCAGCCCAGCAACACATGAGGCCGCAGAAAATGAACACACTGCAAGGGAGCTGAGCACGCATGATATGTTTATAAAGGACGCGTTCTTGGTTTTCCGAGCCTTGTGCAAATTGACAATGAAGCCCTTGAACACAGAGAGGTATGCTTTTATTGTTTATTATTATTTAGGGTGGTGGTGCTAATATCTGGCGCAGCGAGCGTGATCTCAAATCTCATGCAATGAGGTCTAAACTCTTGTCCCTGCATCTCGTGCTCACCATCCTTAACTCACATATGGCACTATTCATTGATTCGAAAGCCATAATCTACTCTTCTTCCACGAATGAGGCAACTACTTTCGTTCAGGCTGTCAATCAATACCTTTGCCTCAGCTTGAGCCGCAACGCAGTTAGCCCCGTGCCTCAAGTGTTCGAAGTCAGCGTGGAGATTTTCTGGCGAGTATTATCAGGAATGCGGACGAAGCTCAAGGTACTACCATTATCCATGAACTGTACATGACTAATTTGCATATGCACAGAAAGAGATCGAAGTCCTACTGCACGAAATATTCGTTCCTATTCTGGAAATGAAGAGTTCAACTCTCAAGCAGAAGGCTGTAATCATTGGAATGCTCTCCAGGCTTTGCCAGGACCCGCAGGCATTGGTAGAGATATATCTCAACTATGACTGCGACAGCGGAGCTATAGATAATATATACGAGCAGTAAGTGTCAGGATGAAAGATCCAAGCTGCAGGCTAATATGATGGTCAGCCTCATGAACATTATATCCAAGATTGCTACATTACCGTATACTTCCTCGCAACAAAAGACGAACGACCCTGCAAGCCCGGCGCTCCCACCACAGACCAAAAGCTCAGCGTCGACGGCGCATGTGTCAGGCGCACTAGCTGTATCCGGCACCATGGACACGTCCACTATGGGCCTTTCCGAGGGGCAACTTAGAAGGCAGGGTCTCGAATGCTTGGTGGCTGTTCTTAGATCTCTTGTGACTTGGGGAACAGCCGCTGGGAAAACACCTGCGGAATCCGCAACTGCGGATACTGCCTCAAGAAGTCAGATCGGGGAAGAGGTTGCGGCTGATGCTATGACACCTGATCCTTCATTAGATGGGTTGATTGCTTCCGCTGGAAGCACAGAAGCCTTTCGGCAATCAACTCCGGACATTGCAGATGATCCCTCCAGGTTTGAGAGTGCCAAGCAAAAAAAGACCACCCTGCTCGAGGGTATCAAGAAGTTTAACTTCAAGCCCAAACGCGTTCGTCATCTCACTATTTACAAACTAGTAAAGTTAATTTCCTCTTAGGGCATTCAATTCTTGGTCGAGACGGAGCTCATTCCAGGCTCGTCGCCTCGTGATATCGCAGGGTTTTTATTAACCACTGATGGCCTCAGCAAAAGTATGATTGGCGAGTACCTTGGTGAAGGGTAAGTATCTTCAATACATCATCATCCATAACGATTCTCACTGTATTGCAGAGATGAATACAATGTTGCTATCATGCATGCTTTTGTCGACTTTCTGGATTTCAGGAATTTAGGCTTCGTAGATGCTGTTCGTGTGTTTTTGCAGGCATTCCGCCTTCCTGGAGAAGCTCAGAAGATCGATCGTTTCATGCTCAAGTTCGCGGAACGCTACATCGCCGGAAACGCTCAGACGCCCTTCAAGAATGCAGGTTTGTGGACATCTGGCTAATTTGTTCGGATCATTTACCTGCCATCGAATAGATGCCGCCTATATTCTCGCGTATTCTATCATCTTGCTCAATACCGATGCTCACAGTCCCCAAATTAAACATCGCATGACTAAAGCTGACTTTATCAAGAACAACCGTGGTATTAACGACGGAGAGAGTCTTCCGGAGGAATTTTTGAGCGCCATTTTTCACGACATCCAGGGTAATGAGATTAGGATGAAAGACGAAGTTGACGCCGCAATCAACTTGCCCTCCACGGGTCCTGGTCTTGCCAATGTGTTAGCGAACGTGGGGAGGGACCTTCAAAAGGAAGCATATGTCATGCAGTCCAATGGCATGGCCAACAAGACTGAAGTAAGTTGTCAGTCTTCTGATTGAACGTGGATTGATCTCTTGTAGGCACTCTTCAGAACGCTTATGCGCTCTCAACGAAGAGGATCTCGTGCTGGAGACCAATACTTTAGCGCGTCACACTTCATTCATGTTCGTCCGATGTTTGAGGTGGCATGGATACCCTTCTTAGCTGGATTGTCCGGCCCGCTTCAAAATACGGATGACCTTGAGATAGTCGATCTCTGCTTAGATGGATTCAAGAATGCCATTCACATAGTTTGCTTCTTCGATTTGGACCTCGAACGCAATGCGTTTGTTAGTACCCTTGCGAAGTTCACATTCCTCAACAACTTTGGAGAAATGAAGACTAAGAATATGGATGCTATCAAGACGTTGCTAGATATCGCGGTCAACGAAGGCAACAATTTGAAAGGGTCGTGGCGCGACGTGCTGTCGTGTGTGTCACAGCTGGAACATATGCAACTTATCAGCGGCGGTGTGGAAGTTCCGGACAGCGGGAAGAAAGGGTGGGTGATTTGTACATATACACCACTGTTGACTGACTATTCCTTAGTCGATCTAAGAAGCTTCCAGCAGAAGAACTTGCCAACGAAAGCAGGTCGACTCACATCACCGTGGCAGCAGATATGGTCTTTTCACTCAGCCACTACCTGTCTGGCGTGAGTTCTTCCTAATCCAATTCGCCTGCTTCGTGATGTTGACTTATTGATTTATAGACTGCTATTGTGGATTTCGCGAGGGCTCTTTGTGATGTTTCATGGGAGGAGATTCAATCGTCTGGAATATCACAACATCCTCGTTTGTTCAGTCTGCAAAAGCTTGTAGAGATATCATACTACAACATGAACCGTATCCGTCTCGAGTGGTCGAATCTCTGGGATATCTTAGGGGAACATTTCAACCAGGTAATATGTTGAACAGTCCGACATAAACACATACTCACACTTTGCAGGTTTGCTGTCACAGCAATCCCCACGTCGGTTCCTTTGCCCTGGATTCTCTCCGTCAGTTATCAATGCGATTTTTGGAAAAGGAAGAGCTGCCCCATTTCAAGTTCCAGAAGGACTTCCTCAAGCCCTTCGAATACACGATGGTTCACAATGCCAATCCTGATATTCGCGATATGGTACGCAGTGTATCAGCCAATTCTTATGATACTGACATTCTCGACAGGTTTTGCAATGTCTCCAACAAATGATACAAGCCAGAGTACAAAATATGCGGTCAGGATGGCGTACACTCTTTGGTGTCTTCTCTGCTGCTTCAAAAGTGCTAACTGGTGAGGACGAATGCTCAACGCCCCCGCTTGGTGTAACATTCTGATCATCCTCCTCTCACCTCAGAACGTATTGCGAATTCCGCATTCGAAATCGTGACGAGATTGAACAAGGAACATTTCACTGCCATTGTCCGCCATGGTGCTTTCGCAGATCTGACTGTTTGCATCAC